AATCTGAGCAACCGTTTGAGTTGGATGACGGTACAATGAGCAGAGCGTCAACCGGCGGTTCGTAGAAGTGCCAATAATGGTCCAGAGAGTTTCTAAGTTCGAGTCACCATCGGTGGCAGGGACGTCGATCACTCGCACACTTAGGCATTGACGAGCGAGAACCGCCACTCCTCCCCTCCCTCGCGGAAGTCGGCTCGTCACGGGCCTGTCGCGACGAAACAGTTGGTACCCGTCAACAGCGAGCAGTCTCTGAGGAATGTTAGGTGATAGCCACGTCTCGCAGAGGGCCATGACGTCATACTGCCCGATGGTAAGTCGATGGTAATCAAAACAAATCCTAAAAACGCGAGCTGTCAAATTCACCTAGGTAGGTAGGTAGGATGGTGCAAGATAAGTTACCGCCGTAGGTAGTTTTACTAGGTAGGTATTTTGCCGATTCTACCTAGCTAGGTATTTTGGTGCAAGACGCCTGTGGGCACTAAGTTAAGCACGTGCGAGTGTTGAAATCGTTGTTTCAAGGGGAGGGTGTTGGATATTATGCTGGGAGCGCCCGGCGCCAGTGTGTCATGTGTTTATTGTCGCGCTTCCATTGTTGTAAAATATTGAAATCGATGAATGGCTGGGCGGAAGCAAGAATTTTCCGGGGAAGAACAAATACTTCGTAACGGGGACAGTACATTATTGGGGTAAAGTTTGCCGATATCCGTGACAATATATATTTAATCGGACTGCCTCCTCGGTATACCAGGTATTGATAAGAGCTTAGGACAAGTAGTATTGTAATGGGATAAACAATGGGAACTATTTTGAATTATATTCTTTTGAATTGGCTACACATGTGTTTCGACAAAATGTCTTTTTCAAGCCTTACATCCCAAATGATAACAATTCAAAAACATTGGCCTAAATACACTTTACACAGGTGAATAAGGTCACAAAACAGATAGTAAATTCGTTCGCAGAAACATGTCGCATTCTATGTCGTACCCCTGTTTGCCAGATCCCTTACAAGTAGTTGAGCCGTGTATCTACTCAGTTTCACTTTACCAACATTGCCGTTCAAAGTTAGAAGGGTACAAATGAATGCTGCCTCTAACGCCTGTCTATGTTTCTTTTTTAACCCTTTACACAAAATTGAAGTTTCGTTCCAGTCTGGAAGGTGACCGGCCTCGTCGACATGCTGCACAAATGCATTAGACAATCTATGATTTCTAAGATCGCTCCTGTGCTCCTTTGTTCGCGTATCTATGCCTCTAAATGTTTCCCCTATATAACTTTTATCGCAGGCACCACATGGAATTTTGTAAATTACACTGTCCTGGTTCTCGGTCGCTTTCTTCCTTCTTGAATGGACTAGATTCTTGATCGTCAGACCGGCTGGAGATGAGATATTCATGGTTCCTTTTACAAATCTATCTAAAACTTCTGCTTCTTTTGACATAGGTACCGAGAGGTAGTTCTTTTTGTCTTTACTTCTTTCTCTTGCCCTTCTTCGAATCTTGATCGCCTTCTTTTCTAAACTGCACAGGAGGCCTGGTGGGTACTTTAGTTTAATAAAGACTCCCCTAATGTAGTCTAGCTCTTCTTTAATAAACTCTTCTGAGCAAATGCGAAAAGCCCGTAAATAGAATCCCAATACAACACCCGTTTTCGTTCCGCTACTGTGGGACGAGAAAAAATCAATTAGGTCATTTTTGTTGATCGGCTTTCTGTGAACTGAGAACGCCGCCTTTTCGCCACGGTTCCAGATACGCGTGTCCAAGAATGCTAACATCCCGTTTACTTCCTCTTCACAGGTAAATGGTATTTTTGGGTGAACGTTGTTGATCTGTCCAAGGAGGGACATCAGATCCTTGTCCTTGCTTGTGATAATCAAGATGTCATCAACATACCGAAGCCAGATAGTGTCGGTTCCGGTTTTGTGAAGAAAGTGATCAGTTTCTAAGGTTTCCATAAATATGCAGGCGATTACCGGACTCAGAGGTGACCCCATCGCCAGCCCGTCAATCTGTAATTCAGCTCCCTCGAATTCAAGGGCACCAAACTCTACACAAAGACGTACCAGCCGAATGAAATCATCTTTGGGCACTGGCAGAATGATGTCTGGGTTCTGGTCCAGCGCCCTGGTTACAGCTTGGATCGCCCCTTCTATGGGCACGTTGGTAAATAACGCCTTGACATCAAAACTTGCGAGTTTCTTGTCTTTAAGATCTATATGCTTAATTCTATCAATCAAGTCACCAGAGTTCTTAAGATGAGATGTGCAGGTTCTTCCCAGCAAATCAGTTAGGGGCTTGGCCAACCTTTTTGCAAGCTGATGGGGCGCGCTCCCTATGCCCGATGTAATGGGACGCATTGGCGTGCCAGTCTTGTGTGTCTTTGGCAAACCCCGCATGCTTGGTGCTACCGGTTTTTCTTCCAAATGCTGCAGCTGCTTTCCTTGACTAGAGCTCGTAAGTATCTCCCGCACTTTCTGATTAAAACGCTTGCTCTCGTTTTCTGCGTGGCCGTTCCGTACTTGTTTGTATGTGGATGCATCGTTAAGAAGTTCAAGCATTTTCCGTTTGTAATCGGCCTCGTTCATGACGACCACACCACCACCCTTATCAGCAGTGGTGATTCTGATGTTTGCGTCCTTCGACAAGTCTTTCAAAGCATTAAGATATCGGCGGGGCAGAGAGCCTGGGGCTTCCTTGGAGAACGCAGCGCAGCTTGCTGTAAGGCCCTGCATGAAGCCCTTGTCTATATCAGAGTCCTTGTATTTGTAGTTTTTCATAATGGTTTCGACTAGAGGACGCCTGTCTGAGCCTATTGCAAACCTCAAACCTAACGATAATGCTTCCGATTCTGTTTCTGAGAGCTGACGATCAGATAAGTTGATAAGCAAGTCACGGTCACCAATGTTCTTCCAGCTGCTGGAATCGCATAGCTGTTTAAGCTGACATTTCAAATGTTCCCGATGATCAGTTTGCTGCTGTTTAAGTCTTGTCACCAAGTGGTGTGGTAAGTGGACGTCACTTAGTCTACTTTGAAGAACATTGCGGAAATCCTGCAGGCTTCGAATAGCATCTTCTAAGTACGCTCAGGAAAATGGATGAAATGTCAGGAAATGGATGAGAGTTCTTCTTTAGCTGCTTTGGTGCTGATCGCGGCAGGACTTGTTCTTGTAGACAATCTAGTAAGAATCCCAACCTGTTTTGTGCTTTATTCACTTTATCTTTTAATTCGAATTGAGTATAAATATTCGTTTCTCCATTGTATCCCGACATAATTGATAAGAGCTTAGGACAAGTAGTAGGTATTGTAATGGGATAAACAATGGGAACTATTTTGAATTATATTCTTTTGAATTGGCTACACATGTGTTTCGACAAAATGTCTTTTTCAAGCCTTACATCCCAAATGATAACAATTCAAAAACATTGGCCTAAATACACTTTACACAGGTGAATAAGGTCACAAAACAGATAGTAAATTCGTTCGCAGAAACATGTCGCATTATATGTCGTACCCCTGTTTGCCAGATCCCTTACAAGTAGTTGAGCCGTGTAGTAATGTAGATCCCTTACAAGTAGTAGAGCCAAGTAGTTGAGACATGTTTCTGCGAACGAATTTACTATCTGTTTTGTGACCTTATTCACCTGTGTAAAGTGTATTTAGGCCAATGTTTTTGAATTGGTATGATTTGGGATGTAAGGCTTGAAAAATACATTTTGTCGAAACACATGTGTAGCCAATTCAAAAGAATATAATTCAAAATAGTTCCCATTGTTTATCCCATTACAATACCAGGTATTATTCGGTGTGCCTAGCCAAGGGTGTTTTGAATAATGCCCGAACGGAGTGAGGGCATTATTTTTCCTAAAATATTAACCGAACGAAGTGAGGTTAATATTTTCAAAAATAACTCGAATGAAATGAGTGTTATTTTTGTATTTAATGCACGAGCCTGCGAGTGCATTAAATATAAGCACCCTTGGCAAGGCACACCGAATAATGCCTGGTGTACCGAGGAGGCGATCCGGTTATATTTATTATACCGACTTTGCGCCGTTCGTCGCTCAGCTCGTCTGTGTAAAAGGGCTTTTTTGGGGGGGATAAAGAAAAGAAACGGGGCTTGGTTTTCTTTTGGGGGTAACAATGTTAATAACAATATTAGTCAAATGAAGTGTCATCGAATTAACTGTACCCATTAGTATAACATAAAAAACATCTGGAATAAAATCAATATTAAAGGGACCCTCCCACCTTCAAAAAAGTTAATGAATTAGCATGGAAGTGATGTCGCTCGATTCAGAAAGAGCAAAAACGAATATGTACCAAATTTCACCGAAGAATATTCACCGGTTTTCAAGATATTAGACTTTTACTTTTGTTTACTTTTTTCTGGATCTCCGCTGTTCCTAGCGACTTCATTTCGGAAGTGCGGCGTTCGCGGCAGATGTTGCGCGCAAAGCAGTATATACCACCGCGTGCTACAAAACGTTTTAGTCAAACATTTAAAAATCGTTAGATATCTGCGCTGACGTCACACATTCAGAGGGGTATTCCTATGCATTAGCCCCTCTGAATCAAAATGCTGCAATTTTGAAATTCAATATTTCCGATTTAAGGGATTTCTCGATGTTGTGAGTGCCGAAACCGGTAATTGTGAGCCAGGGACCCCATTTTGGCTATCTCAACTCAAATGTAATGTTAAGGTGGGAGGGTCCCTTTAAGAAAAGAACCAACTTTATTGGCTTGCGACACACTCGGTTTTACACACAAAGACACAAAGAAATAACAGGCTGTACCATTGAGTAGGCTGCACATCAAATAATTTTCGGACTTTCACGGGCGCGAACATCATTGCGCCCAACTAATGGAAGACACAGTTGTGGAACACTCCAGAATACACCTTCGGCGTCGCGTCACCTCTGGCCCAGAGCGGCAGAGGCGGCGGTGGTCTTGTTACATCCGCTTGGTGCAGTGGCACAACCCCTACGGGAGCATCCCAGCGCTCAATGCCAGCACCTGGCGGAAGGCGCGGTGCACGTGCGTCGGTCACGGTGCGTGGCGCTACATGCTGTGGCGGATGATCACGTCGTGAACCCGCAGGTACAGATACTGGGGCTTCTTTGGACGTCTCCTTTGACGCTTCAGGGCCACTGGCCGGCGGCGCCACGTACTGGGGAGCTGAGGACGGTCCTGCCACTGCACCATCTCCAGCCTCGGTCTGTGGCGGCGCCACCCCGCGCAGTGGCCGGGTGACAGCGCGGGTCTCGTCCTGCAGTTCTTCTTCCGTGCGATGGCCCGTGTACCACTGTAGTGTCATTGACGATCTCAGTCGAAGCCGCGCCTGTATGACTGTGATCGGGTACCCCAGCCGTAGCATGTTGGTGCCGAGGGTGTGACGCACACAGTGATTTGTGTACCGTCTTGATGTCCCCGCTGCGGCGCTGATTCTTGGCATCAGCTGATCAATGGTATGTTTACCGAGTGGTGCGTTCACATACCAGCACGCAGCGTCTGGCTCAACAGCCATCTGGCGATCATTCTTTGCCTTCTGCAAGAAAGCATCCTGCTCTGGATGGAGTTTCGACAGGTACAGTTTGAGAGTAGAAAACATGTAAACTCCAGCTTCTACGTCATCTGTGATTTGTGTAGCTCTGCGACAGGTCGCATTGGGCCCCGTGTGTTGGTAGTTCTTTTCCATGATAGCTTGGTCGATGACGTATCGGAGCTTGCCATGCTGGTCGCGCTCCTCCACAAAGCTGTCCTTGCGGAGCTGACGCCATACTTCCCGACCCCTGTAGCCGAACGTCATGGAGAGCATGTAGTACACATATTGCTGCAGGATCGTGGGATTGATGTACGTCTCAGGAGTGGCGAAGTACCTCCTTACTAGCTCTTGATCCGCCGGGTCCAATGGCTGCTTCATTTGGTTTGCAGCACGATTCGTGCCATCTAGGGCGTAGCGTCTCTTAGCAGCCTTGAATGCTGCGTTGGAGCGCCGGAATGTAGAATCAGCCGACATCAGTGGCATGTCTGGGTCGTGCTCTGACATGTATCTCTGCAGGCCCGCTCGCAGTACTTGAAGGGAACTTGGCGTAAAGCCAGGGCCGCCGGTAGTGTGGACCTCACTGAAAAATTTATACAGGCTCTGGTCCAATGCCTGTAGGTCGTTTCGGTATGCAAGGAGGTCTTCTTTGACGTAGCGAACATTTGGTCTGCGCTGCGCCCATCGTCTATACGTTGTTACAGCCCATTCCGTCGTCTTTCTTGTGTTCGCTGGAACGCATTCCGCCACTCTATCTGCCAGCTCTTGGGAAGGCAAATCGCTGTTTTCTTCACTGTCAGTTACATCTGAATCCATGTTTCTGTAATCGGCAAGCTTTGCGCCGATTAAAGTTTAACTGTTTCACCGGCGAGAGGAGCCCGGTGACCATATGATGTCTGGACAGGAATTTAATTCAACGGTTTTGCGCGTGATCGTCTGCTATTCAATTGTTGCTTCAGGTATGAACTCGAAGCTGTCCTAGATAATGCAATTAAATGTTTTATTATGTACAGCATATTATTAGAATGGTAAACACTCTTGTTCATGCTTAGAGGCTTTACTGACCAATTAGTAAAGTGTTTTATATAGCGGATGCCGCGATCGGAGCATCTCAAGGTGCACTATGTTTTCGCCCATTCAGCTGATCACGGCCAGGTGTTCGGCTGACTGTGGGCGGGGGGGAGTCTGGATCGAAAGCTCAAGGAGTGAGGTTGCGCTCCTGGCTCTGTTAAAATGCAACCTAAAGCTAAATACAATGTAATGTTCTTCACTTTTGATTATGTCGATTCACCTTCAGTAAACACGGGTTTTCATTTGGTGGCAGCGGTGGGATCGACTTAGTCGAAATGAAGTTTGGAGCCCGAACCGACGTCCTCGGCTTTCGCGGCCTCAAGATGAAGAATTCAAGAATTCAACTGACTGTTTGAAATCTTCGGAGCAGCTATCGCCATTCAAGATGTCTGCTGTTGGTTTTCCGGCTCTGCAACACTCTGACGAGTTGTCAGTTAGCCGGTAAGGTCGGTCGACTTCGCCTTTTGTCCCGACTGAAGACTGCGGCATGTTGGCCGCTGCACGGCGACTGTCCAGCAGTGCCGTCTGTTCCCGCTAGCACTGAGCTCCGCTTCTTGAGCTGTGCTACGGTCGACTGATCCTCGGTCCACTTGGCTTTGCAAGTGTCGACTGAGCGCCGTTGCTGCAACACATTTACTCATCAAGTTTATCGGAAGATGGACCAGTTACAAGCCGTCATGGAGATCGACCAGCCCAGGGCTATCGAAGCAAGAGGAGCCTAGTCCTGGACCGCGCTGTTTCCCTGCTTCTACAATCTTCGTGGTACCTACCGGCTACCTGCAGTCTCAGCTGTGATGGAGGTGACGTTTGTGAGGAGGCTGAGAGACAGCGATCAGTGCGCAGTGGCTTGCGGTGATCTCGGCCCAGCCGTCACGCTGCTGCGGCCTGCGAATTCGGTGTGCAGTGCTCAGTGATTTGGTGCGCGAGTGGTGAGCGAGTGACGAGTCGGCACCGCCATAGCGATTGGCGTCCGACCTCCTCGCTGCTGGTGGTCGGCACCAGCCGGCCGTATCGCCCACCGCGACTCGGCTCGGAGCTCTGCCCAGCTCTGCGGCCCGTTGGCGCTGCACTGGACCGCGTCAGCTGATTCGAGGAGCAGCAGGCAAGGCGCCGGATGGAGAGGACTGGCAGTCACTGCACTCACGGTACTGTGCCTGGGGAACTGGGATTTCGGGGTCGGTGAACTGTGTTTTGAGTGTTTGACAATGAACAATTCAGTAGTGGTGTCAAAGCAATGTGCGAAAAAATCAAAGTGAATACGCAATGGAAATGATATTAGAGTTCACTGTAAAGCTAGGTCAGGTTTGGCTAACCAGTTAATGTGGTACCTAAGCAGGAATTTAAAATGAGTTCTTTTAATGTACCGGCACCCCGTTTCGGTGGGAAGGGCTCATTGTCCCGTTTCCGTGAGGACTTTCAAACGTTTGGTCGGCTTCAGGGCTGGGATGAGGACCAGCAGCTGGCTTTTCTGCCACTGACCCTAGAAGGCATTGCACGGGATGCTTATGATGCTCTGAGCTCGAGTCAGAAAGGATCCCTGGACAGCGTTTTCAATGGTTTGCGGGAAACGTTCACAGTGGGGACCACAATCGACGCGCATTCGTCTGACCGAGTTAAAGTATGACCCCGCCGAGTCTCTGGACGAGTTCCTTGTGCGGTTTAAGTCTCTGGTAAGGCGCTCCTTCCCAGATCAGCCGACTGATGGTCTGCTTTTTAACTACTTTCTGTCAGCCGTCCCCGAGAAATATCGCTCAGAGATTGTGATGGCGGGAATTACTGATTTCCCGGCCGCCGTGCAAAAGGTGAGCAATATCCGCAGCGCTGAGGTGCTGCGAAGCGCGTCAGTGCGGCAGGTAGAGGTGCAGGCGCCGATGTTGCGCCTGATACTCGATCGCATCGAGCAGCTCGAGCGGCGTCTGGACGGCCCCGGACGCCCCGAGCGGACCGGACGGCGCCGCGGGTCGCAGCCGTCCCGGTCAAACGAGGCGCCGGCGCGCGCCTGCTGGGCCTGTGGTGGCGCTGATCACGTGCGGTCCCGATGCCGTTTTCGTGATAGCACCTGCCACTCGTGTGGTAAGAAGGGACACCTGGCAGCCGTGTGCCAAGCTCCGTCGGGAAGCGCCGACCGGGGCCCAGGTCAAAGCCCGAGGCCGGGTCCCGCGGCACCTCCCGAACAGTAAATGATGCTGGTGACAGCGTACAGCTCAACCCAGATATGACTTTCCCGGCTAGGATCTGTGGGGTTGAGTGTAACTGTTTGTTGGATACGGGCTCGACGATAAGTATAATTAATAAGGCAGTGTTTGATGCTTTACCGAACGCCACTTTGAGCATGACAGCGACACGGGCGCGGACGGCCGCGCAGGAACAGTTGCCTCTCCTAGGGAGAACTGTCCTTTCCGTTCAGATAGGTCGCGTACAAAAGACTGTCCCCTTTTATGTGTCAGATGTGATTGATGTGCCCTGCCTGTTTGGCATTGATTTCCTTCAGCACGTGCAACCCTGTGTAATAGATCTGCAGCGGAGATGCCTGAGCTTTGTGCCGTCGGAGGCAGTTCGATCTGTTTCAGCGGAGGCAGTGACTGTAGGAACCGTAGTTCTGGGCAAAGATATTACCGTTCCACCCGGTAGTGAGACGGTGGTTCGTGGGTTTTCTCACAATTGTGACTACAGGGGTTCTGCTCTGATTGAACCTTCTTGGGATAAACCGGGATTAGAGGTTGTGAGGAGCATAGTGGAAGTGTCTGGCACGAGCGTTCCATTAGTATTGCGAAACAACTCTGATCGTTTTGTTACTGTTCCCAAGCATGCTGAGCTGGCTCAGCTAGAGGTAGGATTTTCAGAGGAGCCTAAAGTCAAAGAGTCTGAGCTTAAAGAGTCTGTGAACTTGGAAGAATTAGTGAACTTAGAGGGAGTAGATATTACGTCATCACAGAAAGCTGCCCTTTTTCGCGTCCTTAAAAAGTACGAGTCAATGTTCGATGGTCATGTGGGCCACACCACTCTGGTGGAGCACCGTATCGATACGGGTGACAGCCCTCCGATCAGACAGGCCCCACGTAGAATTCCGCCGCACCTCAAAGAGGAGGTGAAGGCTCAGTTAGACGAGTTAGTCAGACAGGGGATCCTAGAGGAGTCAGAGGGCACGTGGGCGTCGCCAATTTGCGTGGTTCGCAAGAAGGACGGGTCGGCGAGAATAGTGGCCGATTTACGTCGATTGAACTCCGTGTCTCGAGTCCCCGCCTATCCGATAGCCAGAATAGATGATACGCTAGACGCGCTGTCGGGATCGTCGCTATTTTGTACCCTTGATATGAACTCGGCTTACCATCAGATGTCAATTGCACCGGAGGATAGAGAAAAGGCAACGATCGTGACACCTTTCTCGTGTCTGCAGTACACACGGGTTTGTTTTGGTCTCGCAGGAGCGCCAGCGAGCTGTGCTCGTCTGCTGAACTTAGTGCTAGGAGATATTGCGCCAGAAAAATGTGTGAGTTACTTTGATGACATCATTGTGCACGGGTCAACCTTTCAGAGTGTTCTGGAGTCACTGGATTGTGTTTTGAGTCGTCTCATGGATGCAGGGTTGACTTTGAACTTGAAAAAGTGTCAGTTTTTCCGGAAAAAGGTCACCTATCTGGGACATGAAGTGTCAGGGGAGGGTATCAAGGCCGATCCTGTCAAGGTAGAGAAGGTGCGTGACTGGCCTGTGCCCAGATCAGCCAAGGAGATGTCCAGTTTTCTAGGGCTAGCTTCGTACTTTAAAAGGTACATTAAGAACTTTGCGGATATTGCAGCGCCGCTGTTCCGCCTCACGATTAAGGATCAAAAGTTTGAATGGTCGGACAGCGCTCAAATTGCTTTTGATTCATTGAAAAAGGCCTTATGCGAGTCACCAGTGCTTGCGTTTCCGCGTTTTGATTCAGAGGCAGGTCCATTCATTTTGGAGACGGACGCCAGTGGGGAGTGTATGGGAGCCGTTTTGCTACAGGTGCAGAATGGTGTCGAGCGTCCAGTCGCGTACGGCAGCCAGACGCTGTCAAAGTCACAGAGAAATTACTCTACCACGAAGCGTGAGTTATTAGCGTGTGTTCATTTTGTGCAACATTTTAACCACTACCTTCAGGGAGCGAGATTTCAACTACGTACTGATCATAGTAGTCTGCAGTGGTTATTGAACTTTAAGAACCCCACCGGCATGCTAGCCAGGTGGTTTGAAGTTTTGGGCAATTATCAGTTTGACATTTCTTATCGTCCGGGGGCCACTAATACAGCAGCTGGTGGTCTGAGCCGGCGCCCCGAGAGCACAGCTGACGCAGGCGTGCAGACTGAGGGAGCGTGGTGCCATCAGATCAATGAGAGTCCGTGGTCCGCCAGCTTCATGAAAGAAGAGCAAGGTAAGGACGCAACAATTTCAGAGATCGTGAAGCATCTTTCCTCGGGACAGCGTCCACATCGCCGCAGTGTCGACAGGTCCTTGCGTCCCCTGCTGAGGCAGTGGTCCCGACTGACCCTTCTTGACGGTGTCCTGTACCGAAAGTACCGCAGGAGGGCGAGAGATGAGTTTCAGCTGCAGCTGGTGATCCCGCGATCTCTTGTGACCGGTGTGCTGACGTCACTGCACAGCGGCCCGACTGCCGGTCACCCCGGACCGGACAGACTACACGCAGCAGTGACCCGACGCTTCTTCTGGGTAGGGATGTTGTCAGACGTCAAGGAGTTCTGCAAGCGCTGTGAGCGGTGTTCATCCAGAAGTCAGCCGGTGCCGAGACCGAGAGCCGCGCTGGGTGAACTGCATGCTTCCGAGCCGTTCGAGACGGTAGCGATCGATTTTCTGACTAACCTACCAGTGACGCCGAGTGCCGAGTGGTCGTAAGCATTTGTTGGTGGTGATCGATCACTTCACTCGCTGGTGTGAGGTGTTCCCGCTGAAGGATATGACGGCCACCACAGTAGCGTCCACTCTGGTAAGTGAATTCTTTTCCAGGTACGGGTGCCCGAGAAAGCTCCATTCGGATTGTGCCGCCAATTTCACGGGACAGGTGATTGCCGAGATGTGTCGTCTTTTCGGCATCGAGAAAACAAAGATAAGTGCCTATCATCCAGAGGGTGACGGTAAGGTCGAGAGGATGATGAGGACTCTGCTCGACATGCTTTCGAAGTATCTCGACGCCAATCACGATCAGTGGGACGAGCACCTCCCATTGTTGATGCTGGGGTACAGATCGCTCGAGCACAGTGCGCTGGGCTACAGTCCGTATTTTCTCAGATTCAGATTCAGATTCAGTTTATTCAACGACATCCTCACACAACCGAGGCTTTTCAGACGTCACGTCACAGTTGAAAAATTGTAGAAGTATCTCTATTGTAAAAATAAAAAGTATGTATACATAAAAAGGATAAAAGACACAAATACACAGCTAAAAGATAAACATCACTCATCGCTCAGTGCAGCCATCAAAGCACGCTTAAAACCGGCCATGGTTACAGCACACCGCACTTCACTCGGTAAGTTGTTGAACTTCCGCAGTCCAACATTGGATAAGCGTCGCTCGCCCGCGCAGGTTCTGGCACGGGATACCACTAATCTGTCTGCGTGTCTTGTGCCATGCTCGTGGTCAACACCAACGAACAGCGACCTCAACTCCCGCGGTTCCCCCGTCGCAAGTATACGGCGCACGAGACAGAGTTGGTGATACGTGACTAGTTTTGATGCTGTCAGAAATCCTAGACGACGTGTTTCATGACTTATGTGTTCGTATTTCTTCTTACGACACACGACTCTGGCACTGAAGTTTATCAGTTTCTGTATGCGATGAAGCTGGGTTATGCCGCAAGTTCCATAAATTGACATACAGTACCGGATGGTTGACAGCACTAACGACAACACGACTTGCTTGAGAACAGAGTGAGGTATTACGTGACTAGCATGGACTAAACCTAACAGAGTTCCGGTACATTTTCTCACGAGGTGATCGATGTGGTTGCCGAATGTCAGATGCCTATCCATGTGTACGCCTAAATTCTTCACTTCGCGGGATTCACTGACTACAGTATTGCTTGCCCACTCTGACAGACACTGTGGGGACATCCCTCAACATGGCCCTGGTTCCAAAAACGATCACCTGCGTCTTTGATGAGTTTAACTTCAGTGAGTTTTGGGCAAACCAGTCAAACAGCAGCGATAGTTCGCTTTCCAAAGAATTAATCATATCAGATATGTTCTGTTTTCGACCAGATATCCAGATCTGAGTGTCATCTGCGAATGACACAAGTTTTTTTCTCATGTTCGGTAAAGAGCCGCGCCTGCCTGTGGAGGCTGAGCTCCAGGTTCCAGTCGCGAGCAAATCTCAGACCGTCACAGAATATGTAGATAAGCTACGCGAGTCTTTGAGAATTGCACACAAGCATGCGCTACAGGTATCTGACGCTTCACATGGGAAAAACAAACGGTTCTACGAAAAACGAATGAATGAGTTTGAATACAAAGAGGGAGATTTGGTATTTTTGCACAAAGCTGTGGTTCCTAAGGGACAATATTACAAGTTTGTGAGACCGTGGAAGGCTGCGGTGATTGTAGCAAAGGTAGGGGACTTGAACTATCGTATCAAGGTCACGGGCTCCAGGAAAACATTACTGGTTCACCATAATCGTTTGAAGCCGCGAACTGAGCCGATAGTTACCCCACCTGTGCCAGAGGTCACTGAGAGTCAGGATGAGGCTGGTGCTGATGCTGCGTCACCGGTGACACGCGCTCAGACCACGCCGCCAGCAGAGACAGAGTCGGTCTCCGTGGACAGTGGGTCAGTGGATGGCCCGGCTGGTGTCACAGCCTGGGCACGATTGCCCATCATCGGCACAGCCGTGCAAGGTAAGGAGCCAGCGATTGAGGAGCAATCGTCCTGCACAATTCAGATGGCGGTGCCGACACCCGAGTGTCCGCCGGTACCCCCGCGGTCTGAGGTACCGCCGCCGGTGCCAGCCAGACGGTCCGAGCGACGGACTCGACCGCCAGATCGCTTTGTTCCAGGCTTGTAGGTAGCCTGATTAACATTAATGCTTCAAAAGGCAAGAGGTAAGAGGTGCGCTCAAACTAACGTAAAATCAGTCGCCCTGATTTTCCTTTTAACCCGCGCCCTGCTGGGGGGGGGTGTTTGAACACCCCCCCCCCTGTGGTTTTTCGCGGATATCTCAAAAACGGCGGCGCTCCGCGCCGCCGTTTTTGGTACACCTTATCATACATCAATTCTACACATGTTGTGAAAATTTCAGACCAAGGTCATTCAAGGTCAGGTCACCAGGTCACTTGAAGTGACCTCACCTCATAAAAAGTTTCAATGTCTGCCATAGCTACACCGAGTGACCGATCGCTTTGAAACTTTCAGCGATTACTAAGAACAATAGCATGTACAAAATGTATATCTCAGAATTTTGATATCGATGACCTAAGGTCAGGTCAATTTTGCGACCTCCCCATTATAAGTCAATGGGAGAAAATTGAAATGCGCCTCTTTTGGACGAAAAGCATTATAAACACTCCCAAACACTGAATTACAAGTGGTTTAGACACACTGAACATGAAAATGGTGTCCGTGACCCCTGGTTATGCCCCTGAGGTCATCCTAGGTCACGAATGGTATCTAACAGTTTTTCGCAAATAACTTTTGATAGAGACATGCTAGAGCGATGAAAACGCCTTAGATGTGTTCAGCTGGACGATACGGATCGACTGATATGCAACATGACCCTTTCCGGTCAGGTCATGACCTTGACCTGAGGTCAAATTTTCAAGTTGACCTTTCAAGGTCAAGTTATAGTTCATTCGATGCGTCTTGACGAGAGCAACACGATGCCGGTAAAAGTAAGCTCGTACAAGGTTTGGGTCAAAAGTTATTGCAGAAAAACTGTTTCCGAAAAAATCGGCTATTTTTGCAGTTTTTACCCCCTGCAGGCAAAACCGTTGACGCTAGGTCAAATCTGAGAGAATTACTCAGAAAGAGCGTTAATAGGGCTATCGAATGCGCTTTTCCGCAGCGCTGTAGCTCTATTGGTTCCCGAGTTATGCGTTGGCTTCTTGGAAATTGTCGACATTCGACCTGGAAATCGGCGAAATTTTGCCTTCAATGACCTCTGGTGACCTGACCTTTGACCTGACCAAAAAATTGACCGAAGTGATTTCGTCATTATTTTTGACGCTCTTTCGAACGCCGCCTTCCGCGTATCGCTACGTGGCCCAGGAGCCGAGTTAGAAGGGGGGGTGTTTGAACACCCCCCCCCCCCCCCCAGCAGGGCGTGGAAATCCAGGACCCCCAGCAGGGCGCGGGTTAACTAGCTCAGCAGACAATCGGTTGGCTCCTGGCGCCGGAGTGCGACAGATTTGTTTAACTCTTTATGGAAAGAGAGTGTGCGCGTCGAGCTAGATTCGGTCAATCCCTGGGGACGTTTCTGATTGACATGTCAATGTCATTAAACTCAGTTTGAGTAGGAGCCCTCTAGCAGCCTGTTCAGAGCATCATGGCATGGGATGTAAATAGCATGGTCTGGTTAGCCTGTGTTTGGGATGGGACCCAGGGTACCCATTGCCATCATTGACGGTTAGCCATACCTGTTCAGCTAGGTAGTTGATAAGTGAGCGATGCTGTGCGATGACGTGTTTGTGTTTTTCGTTGTTGCTGACTGCCAGTCAAAGTCAGCCGGATGCTGCCAAGCATCATCTAGCGACCACGGTGTTATGGTGTCGCGTGGCGCGTGCTGATGATGCCGCATGTGTCAATGAGTGTTTCTAGATGTAAGTGCACGCCTTTCATTCAAAGGAGGGAGAAGTGTAATCGGCAAGCTTTGCGCCGATTAAAGTTTAACTGTTTCACCGGCGAGAGGAGCCCGGTGACCATATGATGTCTGGACAGGAATTTAATTCAACGGTTTTGCGCGTGATCGTCTGCTATTCAATTGTTGCTTCAGGTATGAACTCGAAGCTGTCCTAGATAATGCAATTAAATGTTTTATTATGTACAGCATATTATTAGAATGGTAAACACTCTTGTTCATGCTTAGAGGCTTTACTGACCAATTAGTATAATGTTTTATATAGCGGATGCCGCGATCGGAGCATCTCAAGGTGCACTATGTTTTCGCCCATTCAGCTGATCACGGCCAGGTGTTCGGCTGACTGTGGGCGGGGGGGAGTCTGGATCGAAAGCTCAAGGAGTGAGGTTGCGCTCCTGGCTCTGTTAAAATGCAACCTAAAGCTAAATACAATGTAATGTTCTTCACTTTTGATTATGTCGATTCACCTTCAGTAAACACGGGTTTACATTTCTACAATTACTTAAATCACATTTCAACAATCGTCCAAAGAAGTTTGGGCACCTAGGTCTCAAAGCTCAGAGTTATAAAAAAAAATCGGCTCGAAGCTAGTTTTGAATCATTCAGATATCTGATGGATCCTATATATGGCCTTGGATGGATCTCATGCGTTATCAAGATTCATTCAGTCATGTTTTCAATGCAGTTTAACCCTCGCCCGTATAGGGGGGGGGGTCGAACGGACCCCCCATGGTTTTTCGCGACTAACTCGCGTAAAAAACGGCCGATCGCGACGAAACTTTCAGTACCCTCGCGTTAATCAATTTTACACCTACCCTGAAAATTTCATGACCCTGACCCCAATGACCTTTGACCTGTGACCTACTTTTCGAGACCATGTTTGGCCGGAATCGCGATTCGGCGTATGTCGGCTCTCATTAGCAGCGCGTTTGCAGGCTTTTCGTGGTTTCAAGCGTTCAAACATGTGATATGATGTTGCCCCCATGCATTAGGGTGGGTGTCAAGGTCATCTGAAGTTCAGGTCAGGTCATTGACCTTTGGTGACCTCGGTTCACTTATTCGAGTTTTACATGTTTCTAGGCCAGTTTTTGGAGCTGAATTCGAATTTAGCAACCATATGAACATTTACTAAGTAGTTTTGGTGCCTTCGTAACATGTTACGAAGCTGTCAGAGGCGGTTGATACCTACTAGGAATACCCGGCAGGACCCCTACTGGTTGACCTGACCTGACCTGACCCGACCTGGACTAAATGCATAAAGACATCATCTGTGATCAAAACTAACATGATATTCGTGATCAGCGCCCCGAAAAACCCCATAGCAGTCAGTCACACTTTACGACGTTCTAACAGGTCCCGATTTTCCCGACTTTTGGGTCATTGACCTGACCTGCAAGGTCAACCAATGACCTAGGACCTTAAAATTAGGTATCATCGGCTTCCTCTCGTCACGGGCAACACGCTCGTTTTTTCCGCGAAGCTCTAGCTCGATCAGGGGCGAAACGGCAAGGGGGGGTCCAACGGACCCCCCCCCCCTTATACGTTCGCGGCTGGAAAAACACCAATACGTTATACGGGCGAGGGTTAAAATGTATAAATTTTCATGAAACGTGCAAGTTCTTGCGAAACAAATATTTGGGCTCCACCACGGGAAGAAAAAGTCTGATTAACAATATTATTCCCGGGATTAATTTCTGTTATACCGACGTTTTACTTAAAAAAAAAACTGAAATCACGCGCGCGTTTACAGACAGCCCTCTGATGCTGCAAAAATCACTCGTGCTATCAAGATTTAAGCATACTTCTTTAACATGCGTGAACGGCGCAAAGTCGTAATAATAATATAACTATTCTATTTGCGTCGGTTTGCGGGTTTTTTGAAGTGCTCAGTTTTTGCAGCGAGCTTTTTCTCTTAGGGCTTGCGAGATAGCCGCGGAACCACATATCTCTTAAGCATTGGCTTCAGACACAGGAATGCGGCTGATTCACGTGCGATTGTGAGTGAGGTACCCCCAGTGTGAAGATTCGGCTGTAGAATATGTAGTTTTAAATACGTAGTTTGACGTAGATCTCGGAAAAGTGAGATACCCCATATGCTTAAAGGGACCCTCCCACCTTAACATTAGTTTTGAGTTGAGATAGCCAAGTTTGCGGCCAGGCTCAGAAACCACCATTTATCCTGGTTGCAACCCCCGCAGCTTTATGGTGTTCAAGAAATTTCTTCCTTTTACTTGCAGGGTGGGACCAGCGTGGTCCCTATCTCTTAACCATTACGGGAATCTGATGACGTCATCAGGCTTTCGAACGTCCGTTAAATGTTTGACTAAAACGTTTTGTAGCACGCGGTGGTATATGCTGCTTTGCGCGCAACAAATGCCGCACTTTCAAATAAAGTCGCTAGGAACAGCGGAGATCCCAAAAAGTAAACAAAAGTAAAAGTCTAATATCTTGAAAACCGGTGAATATTTTTCGATGAAATTTGGTAGATATTCGTTTTTGCTCTTTCTGAACCGAGCGACATCACTTTCATGCCAATTCATTAACTTTTTTGAAGGTGGGAGGGTCCCTTTAACACAGAGCCGAACGGCGGCTGACAGGTGTCCGGCTCTCGGGAGATCGGCAGCCGACACTCGAAAAATCGACAACCCGCCGCTGAATGCGCGTGCGGCAGTGCTGAGCCGAGTCGTTCCCACGGTCTGGCGGCCAGCTGGGTGGGGGCGGGGTGGGGAGTGGGGCGGCCGATTGCCAGCCGCTTCTCCACGGGCAGGTGCTGCCACCTGCGCAGTAGTTCCACTGGCGGCCGCCAGGCCCGTGCGGCAAGCGGGCCGTGCGCGGTAGTTCCGCCAGCGGCCGCCAGATGGATACCGCCGCGCGCGTCGTGTCTAACCTGACGAAGCTACAAAAAGTTAGATAACGTGACCCTGGCCTTTTGCATAGGAATAAAGCTGGATGACACAAAGGCCTTTTCCGTCGCCCATATGGGACCGTTTTGGGGTTTGGACGGGTGTTTTATCTCGAGCACGGACTAGGTAGTCCAGATGACCACATTGATGTCAGCGACCCTTCAGTTTTTTAGCCTCAGGCATAACGAAACACATGTTTGGCCATTTTAAGACGTTTTTGACTGTTTTGAGCCCTCCGGTAAGTAGAGCTTAAGTCACCTTGAGTTAGGTACCCCGAAATGATACTCTTAGTCAGCTGGTAATACATCCTGAAAAGCCTGTTTACCAACTTTCTAACGCTAAGACCTTTTTGACGGCCATTTTGGCGCCACACAGTTTTGGCCACATGGCTCACTCGTGAAAGCTGACAAAAAGAGAGCATAAACTTGCAGCGATTGACTCCCGACAAATCATCGGCGTCACTTGTTGACTGTGCGTCCAGTTAGCGACAGACATTGGCTACATACTGGATGGCCTCAACCACCCTCAACCGTCGTGAATGGCCCAGTGCGGTCTAAATACCGAGACGTTCCCGTATCAGAGACCTCTATGTTGCGGCGTAAGCCGTCTCCAAAGGAAGTGAACTCTCTGGCAAAAAATATTTTGTCTAGACGAATTAGTTACCGTGGAGCACATTCACAGTTGCCATGGCAACCCCAAAAGCTCAGTTACAAAATAAATTAAGCGTGGCTTTAAATAAGAGAGCCTCTTAAAGAAAAATTTAGGTGAGAAGGAACTTATGGGACACCCTGTATATGGCCGCCGGGCGGGGCCAGCGAACCAAGCAGACTGCTGTGAGTCGCCTGAACTCTGGACTCAGTCGCCCAAGCCCGAGCTTCTATCATTCAGACAATGTCGCATTCTGGAATACTACCCACGGAGGACAAATGAAAATAATAGTTTCATCACGATGCCCAATCATTGATGAGCCAGCATTGTCACAAATGAAACGTAATAATCTATTTACAACTGCAACCTGTCCACCTGAAAATGTTAACCTAGACTCGTCCTTGATTACCTGTAATTTCCATCTGCTCCAACGTGAAGTCTCCTCGAATAGGGACGCGAGAACCTGGACCGGGGTGTCCGCCAGTTGGTAAACCACCGCAGCTCCATGGGAGTTATCTCACCTGTATGTATGCCGAGCCCAATCTTTTAAATGCCGTAGAAAGGATTTGGCAGCAACCGTCCATCTTTTCCATCCTCAGGATACTGAAATCCCAACCCCACTCCGGGCTGGGCAGGCAACTTTATCTCATGCTGGCTGCTCCCTTGGAGTGGCACCGCTGCACGCTGGGCCGGCGGACCGGAAAAGCGCTAGAAATACCCGCAAGAGTGACTTTCCACACTTTATACAAAATATGTATCATTCGATCCCAAATTGATCAAAGCATACGATTCTGATGCTATTTTTGCCCTAAGGTCGAAATTGAGGTGGTCAGTTGTCACCAAACACAAGACTATTTAGACCCGCTAGTGGCCACCACATTCGCCGATTTTAATGCCAATCTTTAGTTGATATTTATTAGTTGACCAGTTGTCGTTTTGAACGCAATTTTCTGTCAGACTAGTTCAGGGCACTGTTGTTCACTGTACCAACAACATTCTTACATATTGCATCGCGTTTCTGCAAGATAAGCTAGCTTTTTGCAAGCAGCTGCAAGACCTAAATAAAAATCATATCTAAATTTTTAAATAGACTTTTATAAAAACGTTATTTCGAGCGGCTAAAAATGAACATCTGATACTAGCCTCTGATTACTCATCTTTCGTTTCATATAGGTGCTTTGCTGCTTTTCCCTGCTACTTTTCGAGATATGCGCCAGTAAACCATATGATGTAGGGGCAATTATCACCTAGCCGCTCTACTGACGGCCCGGCGCTCTTTAAAGCGCCGAAATTTATGAAAAACGAATGTTTATATTCTGAATAAAATATATGTCCCTGAGCTCAGAATTGATCAACGCACACAATGCTGTCAATTTTTTGGGGCCAAAGTCAATAATTAAGTCATTATGAACCCCCAAACACAAGTCAGTGATAATCAACAACAACTTGCTCTTTAGTTAGACTTTTTGAGAAATGTTATTTCGAGCCGCTAAAGATGAAAATGTCATGCAAACAACTAGTCAATTGTCTGCCATGCCCTATTGACGATTATTGCCTATTACTGCTACTTTTCGAGATATCGTCTGCTTAGTCACCTGAAATAGCTGCTATGCCACCCTATACCGCGGTAGGGTGGCACAGCAGCTATATCAGGTGACTAAGCAGACCATATCTCGAAAAGTAGCAGTAATAGGCAATAATCGCTTTAAAGAGCGCCGGGCCGTCAGTAGAGCGGCGAGGTGACAATTGTCCCTACATCATGTGGTTGACTGGCGCATATCTCGAAAAGTAGCAGGGAAAAGCAGCAAAGCACCCATATGAAACGAAAGATGAGTAATCAGAGGCTAGTATAAGATGTTCATTTTTAGCCGCTCGAAATAACGTTTTTATAAAAGTCTATTTAAAAATTAAGATATGATTTTTATTTAGGCCTTGCAGCTGCTTGCAAAAAGCTACCTTATCTTGCAGAAAAGCGATGCAATATGTAAGAATGTTGTTGGTACA